TATGCCTCTCAAGACTCATCTATCTGGTGTGCTGTTGTCCAATTTTACAGAACACTTAAGAGATTTAACCCTCTCAGGCTCAAATTAAACTTTTTGTTGCTAATGTACAACCAAGTCCTGCAGTGGTACTTCTGAGTAAAAAGAACTCACAAAATATGTATGCGGGGTAATCAGGTTGTTAGTTTGCAAATGGGCAACGCCTGCCTTGAGAGGGTTAATGCAGACGAATGAAACTGTCTCTTGTGAGACACTGAAATCCTGGTCACGGCTTGCAGAAAAGTTCAACCTAATCTCTTGTTTATTTTCTCAACTGAGTGAGAAAACGCACAACCACTTAACTTGTCTAAATGAGACACGCTAGATAAAGAAGTCCCCTGAGGACAGGTGTGAGGGCACTAAAAAAAAAGAAAAAGGTTTAGTCATTCGTGACTCAGCGGCTGTCGTCACTGGTGTGCCTTTGCCCAGACAAGCTTTGCTAGACACACAAAACACAGACGTATGATGAACAAATACCCAAGAAATGCAATGAGCTTAATGTTTTTTGAAGAAAACATTCTGCGTTTAACTCAGATTAATCAGCTAAAGCCAAGACAACGGTTTGAAAACAACCCAAGTAGGGTTTGTGCAAGCTTTACCGTTTCCTATATTTAAGACACAAAATAAAGAATTTAACTTAAAGTAATAAAACAACATTTTTAAAAATGCAGTTTTGATTGAAAATGTATATATTTACACATGCAAGTGTTTTCAATGTTGTTCTTTCATTAAAGTTACTTCTGATGGGTCATATTCTGTGAGCTCTCATTCCAGCTTCTGATCTCTACATCTGGGAGGTGTGAGCAGAAAGAGAAAAAGGCAAAAGAAAAAAAGGCCAGCAGTGAGGGCAGAGAAAAGAAAAACAGGCAGTCAGGTTTGTGAGAGCAGATGAGTGTGTAAGCTGAGAGCTGCAGGGGGACCGGGGCTGGAGTCCAACAGAGGATCTGATATCTGAGACTATGGAACAACAGGACACACAACACCAGCCGGGCTGAAGGCAGTGCTGAACGGCTCGACCCCGATGTCTCTGCTGACAGCAGCAAGGAAGTCATTATCAAAATGGTTTACTGAAGGAGTCTGCTCGCTTCAGTGTCAGAAGTCTTGTAAAACTTTCTTTTTAAAAAAAAGAAATTAAATGATTTAGCGACTTCTCCCTCAGTGTGCCACAGAGCAAGAACAATGTATGATCGCCTATTGAGTATATAGATATACTGCAGTCTGTATATAAAGTAAGAAATCACTGCAGCAAAAGGAGCAAATATGTCTTAATTAACACTGTTACTGGGTCAGAGTCAGGATGACTGCAAATACAAGCAAAACTGGTCAGCGTTACCAGATCTCTGTGCATTTCTCTGTAAAAGATGATCAGTTTGCTCTTCTGTACTTGCTAAACTCAGAAAATCATGGACAAGATGCATCATTATCAATAAAAGCAAGTAAAGAAATAAAAAGGAGGGAACTACACTCATTTTTTGTGTTATTAACATTTACATTACTAATTCTAAACTACAAAATTTAGAATAGATGTCAAGTGATGAGAGTAGAATTAGAGGAAAGTGAATGAAACTGCATTTCCCAAGTGCAGTAAAAGTAGACTGCTTTTCATTATTGAGCATGTAAGAGAAAAAAGAAAAAAGATGAAGCCATGTGTAGGAGATTATTCAAAGTATAGAATAAAGCAAAGACTTTATAAAGAGTCTTACAGAAAAGGAGGTCCACCCGACAGCTCATAATATTGAGCATTATAATCAGCTATGCCTCAGCTATGGTTTAAAGACCATAGCTGAGGCACACAAGTATAAAATATCAATACAATTTAATATGCACAGACGATGCCTTAATCAGACACTTCTACAATGCAAAGGGAAAGCATGATTGATGTCTATAAAATGCAAATTGCAACATAGTCCCCAATCATTACAATAATAGTAATCACACTGGGCAAAAATTAGTCTTCTGTATAAGCTACAAGGTAGTGCAAAGATAATAGGAATCTTTAAAAAGTGTCATTTAGAGAAATAAAAGGAAAAAAAATTAATGTAATGGGCTTATTATTATTATTTCTTCTCTTTCTTTTTTTTTTATAAATAAGACGCTATGAAAAGCAGACTTGTAAAACTAGTATTAGTAAGAGTGCATAAAAAGGTTAATGGTGCTATCAAAGCATAGTTTCAGAGGTAGTCATAAGTCAAAATATCATATTAAATACACGTTTTCATTTTAATATTATAGTTAAATACTTAAAAACAAAAGCACAGCAATAGTGTGAAACCAAACGCACACAAATTTTTTTTTTAATTTTATAAAAGATTTTAAAATGCAGCGCCTTACCTTTTTCTGGTACCACACCACAGCATCTTTTACTTTGGAAGCCATTTACATTTCCTTCCTCACCGCCTAGGGCATCTTAGACTGAAAACACACAGCGAGAGAGAGAAGAGAGCGCAGCGTGAGTGACTGAGTACTGGGTACAGGGAGAGGAGGACTGGGGTCTATACCTGGTAGGCAGGTGTGTCGTGACAAATAAAAGAGGGAGGGGACTAAACACACCCCTCCCACAATCAATTTTTAAAGCAAATCTCACTGACACGTCTAATAGAACCAGGTCACTCTTAAAAAGCAGTGTTTTAATCTCAGTGAGGCTTTTAAGAGGATAAATAAGGGATGGACAGTGATGTGATGGATTCTCCTTGTACACAAATCTGAACATGAAGTCTAACCTGTACTAATCAATGTGAAACGTGTCCAAACATAAGACATGTGCGCACTGAACAACACACCTTAGTAATAAGCCTAGTCACTTTTATTTTTTTAATGTTGTTTCCCTTGACACCCATCTTACAATACAAACAAACACTCGTTTAGAGCTGGTTATTCCTTTTGAATCCTCACCTGTGTTTGTCATTAATGTGCGTGTGAGTATTTGGACAAAGACACATCTTTGGTGTGGTTAACTTTGCCTGAACACAGCACCACACTGAATTTGAAATGAGTTTAAAGTCTTACTGGATACAGTGTGATGATTATTCTGTGCGCAGTAGAGTCAAAGCAAGTTGATAAAGCTTTACCCTTATGCATCAGGGTGTTCCCTTCAG